ACTCGAGATAAACGAATTGTCGTTGTACTTGTTGGGCCGTTGGTCGGAACGAGTCATTCCGGAAGCTGGCACTTCTTGCGGGCGCTGAATGGTTCCCATTTGTTTTTCGGCGAACGCTCACATAAGTCGTGCATGTGTTCATACGTCGGAGGACAGAGTGGTTTGAGCCATTCAGACCTGAAATTTCATTCGAAAAATCTCACTTTTGGCGAAATGTGTCACTGATACAATAGACAGATTCTTATTTTTATGAATATAATTAAAAAAGTAGAAGCTAGAGAGGTAACTGTTTTATTCACTGTATATTATAACGAGTACTATATTTTAGGTTTATTTTGAATATTTGTGCTTATTACGTGCACTCTGTATACTTTTTTTATTCTTTAATAAGAGTTTAAGGTCGCATCGACATCTTCTGTGTATTTTTGTACCACCAATTTTTTCATAAATATATAAAAATCTGCAGTCTAGTCATTCGTAATGATTTCAATCTGTGAAAAATGAAAATTCAATATTCTAGCAAGTTCCCGATTTTTAGCGATGATTTTAGCGCAACGAGCTGTAGAAATGAATTCTTTCCAATTTTTCGGTATAATCAAAGTTTTCTTTAAAAAGAACGAAAATAAATGAAGGATCCAGATAATTTCCGTTATCGTTGATGACCTTTTGCCATTTTTCTGGCAACTTGCGAGTACCATCGGTGACTTCGAATCAATTATGTGAATCCAATCGGAAAGAATTCATTTCTACACCTAATACAATAAGGAAATTTACTATAACAGAATTACGTTTATGAAATTAAACTTTATTAAAACTTCGTTGAACATTTGAACTGACGTTTAAGTGAATTTTTTAAAGAATTTTTGTTATCACAGTTGCTCGTTCAACATTTGTTTCTGCGAAAGAAAATTTTCACCCTTGAAGGATTAATAAAGTGTTTAGTTCTTTTTTTCAGGGTTTAATAGTAAATTATATACCTGTCAAGGGGATGCCCATTGTACTGGCGTTATTACTGTTACGTTGTCTGTCTCTACGGAGAATTCGATGTGCACCAGGCAAGCGTCCGAACACTGTTATGAAACCGTTTCGAAATTTCGCGTTCATCCAGCAATAAATTACTGGATTGTAACAGGAGTGCGACATAGCCAACCAGTGAAGAACCATCCATACGAACGGAAGTCCGGACCAACTTCCTAGGGTCTCGTTATTATCCATTAGTAACTAAAAGTAGAAATTATTTGGACAACGTTAATGGAACAGTCATTGATTCGAATATTTCACTTAATTGTTAATTATTTAAATGTTCATTTAAATTTATATTATAAAAAAAGAATTCTTTGCAAAATTGAAATAATAAAAATGATTTCTTGCATAAAAGTCTTTTTACAGTTTGGCAATTCTTGTTGTAATTTTTATCTTACTATTTCATTATTGTCGTGTTCACTATTTGGAAGGGCAATTTCTTGCTTCGTTATTTGAGTGAAAATCAATTATCGAGATTCCAGTTGAGAGACACTCTTTAAAGATACTAAAGAGTAATTTTTTCCCTTCGCAGCTGTTAATTGCTGTACGTCAACCTACCTTCTTATTCAGTTTGTTTCCAGGGATAGTGGAAAATTAGAAATAAATGGAAAATAACGTGCTGCATGCTGTTCATAAAATAAGAAAACGAAGGGAAAGGAAATAAAGCGAGCAGAGACGTTATGGTTACTGATGAATTTCTGAAATCCAACTATGTGACGTGAAAATATATTAATCTTCCACTGAAATTAATAGTTGCGCTTCCTTTATGTATTTTATCACAAGATGCTATCAGCCAGACGATATTAATGGTTAAACATAAACTACTTCGTGTAGTAGCTTTAAGTTATTTTAATCTTATCATTTATTTTAAATTATCTTGATAATTAATTAAATTGTATTTTTAAAGGAAATTTAATTCACTTGATTTTATCCGATAAATCTAAATTTCTACTTATTCTTTGTTATATGAAATGCGAATTTAAATTATAGTGCCATTTTAAATTAAATATAAAATTTCTGAAAACTGAAGACAATAGATTTCATTGTTATTCAATTTGTATAAATAAATTTTCTCGTAATGTACGAGTTCGAGATTTATTCAAGGAAAGTTACTTACGTTTAGTATGTTGAATGGAAGCCAACATATAGTGAACACTATAACAACGGTCACCATCATTTTTACCATCTGAAACAGACGAAATATATCGCTGTACTTCTTTTTCATATCTATTTCATTAATTCACGTTCATATTCAATTTTTTAAATTAACGATTAATTTAATCAGCGATTGGTTATAATTAGTTAATTGATTAATTTATGTTTAGTTAATCACGAAGTGGTTAATTGGAATTCATATGAAAATTTGTATTCGGAAACTAAGTTAAACGGATGTTATTTGCAATGTATATGTATACTTAACGAATGTTATACAACACTTTTGTAAATATTTTTTACGAGAAAATAGAAAATTGTGGAACAATTAAAATGTCAAGATTAGACAAGTAATTTTCCTATCGAATTTTATGATAGCACTTTTTGCATTAACGAGTGTTGAAAGCACGGCGTAAATAACGAGGAAGAAAATGTAGCTGGCTAAAATTTCAATGGAATATAAGTCAAAATGAAAAATCTATTTTTCGTTAGGGTCAACACACTGCTATTACCGTTAATATTCCGTGGTCCGTTCAGGGTCGGCTTGTTTCACTGCGTGACCAGCAAATACGCGCAGCCTTTACACATTATCGCGAATAACAACATCGTTTCCACCGGGAAATTTCCAACTATGACGGATCACGGTTTAATTTGCCTTTGATTTTCACGCGGTTCAATTATTCTCGATATAAGAAGCGAGACTTCTTCCTCTAATTTTTCAAACGATTGAAAAGCTCGATAAAATTAAAGGAAAAATGAAGATGCGATGACTAACAATGTTGTAATAATAAAATACTTGTACACTTCTGAATTACTTCGAAAACAAAGATTTTATCGTACTGCTATATTTTAATTGTAAATCACAAACTTGTCAATAATGAATTATTCTAAATTCATGGGTGCAAGTTGGGAATTTTATCAAAGTTTTAGCTGTTTTTAGAACTCTCGAGCATATTTGTACTGTAAAATGTGTTAGCTGATAAATAACCTCCATCTTACATGAATTATCTGGTCTGGTAATAGTTACTGTTCCGTGGCATACCCACGGGACCTTACCCTTCCTTTTGTTAATGATTTTGACCGTCTTGAATAGCACGGGTGGCTAGCAATTGTACAAGGACAACCTCCGAAGTGCAAATTGCAAGCACGTTTATGACGTTTGTATTTTATTGTATTTTAGTTGTATTTATTGTATTTCTGCGATTGTATTTCTTCGAGTTCCTTCGTCCTCAACGATTAATTGCATGTGCCATAAACGTGAATTTCCAAAGGGGCATCGAGGCCGGGCCCAGTGACCGTCGACCAGGTCAGGCCGCAGGATCCAAGCCTAGCGGAAATTCCACCACGTTGTCAAATTTCTAACATCGCGTCTTCCACCTCCACTGATATCACCTCTCCTGCCCGGAATAGGTGGGTGTCAGAGGATCTATCACCCGATTGGCAAAAGTTCTTACCAATCAGGTGACAAGACCGGTGACAAGAATTTCCGAGTCGAGGGAAATTCGTGAGGGAGTAGTCAGTTAGTAACAGACATCCAAGAGAAACATTGTAATCTCTTGTTTAACTCGTACATCATCCACACCACTAGTCCATCATTTAACTATTTCATTAAATAGTCTACTTTGAATTATTTCCTTCACCATTGAACTTCACCTATACACACCTTAATATCCTTATAACTCGAAACGGTCGTAAGGACATACGCGAGCAAGCTGTCGATTATAAAATCGGACGGAGACTTACGACCTACGTCGACTTTGGCTCTCGACGCACCCCAGGGGTCGCAGCGTGACGCGTATTTTCGTCAGAAACAGTTACAATGATATTGTTCTTAAAAATCACTGGCTTTTGGTTCTCGTTTGGAAACAGAATTTCAAGACGACATGTTACATTTATTTCTCCTTTCCCTGCATGGGATGCAAGTTCAACCATTTTCCATCGCACTACTTATTACGTTTGACGCCTTGTATTCTCCCTGGATTTCTATCATTGCAAATATTTATGAATTTCACAGATACAAGTTACGTCCTTTGTTCCTTCTCTACATACTTCTCTTTTATCTATTCCTTCTTTTGGCAGTTATACTCTTTTTCATACTTTTGCTCGTATCTGCCCTTCATCTCGCTTTACCTGTTTTTCTTACCTCTCGTATTTACACGTTTCTTTCCCCCTATTGTTACACGTCCTTTTTCCTCGTTTTCATTCCTTCCACTATTTTTCTTACATTTTATTAAGAAATTTTTTCTTTTTTTCAACAGATGGTCAGAGATAAGAATTCTACTAAACCGATAATGAGCCTTCGAAGTACCTTGTAATTCCCATTTAAATTACGGTACTTGAAAGACAAGGTAAACGAACAGTAACCACTTTCTACTAATTCCATTATCTTACCTTATCACAACGTGCTATTCGTTTTTGGTTTAACACCGTTACATACACCGCTAATTCTTTAAAAGTAACGAAGTTTGAAATTCAAGCATTTCTCACAAATCCATATCTAGCATCGTAGAGGATATCGAAAAATAGCTATTCTAGAAACCAGGAACTTCTAATTCCCGGAGTACGAACGCATGTGCCAGTTTCGTGAATCTTCCCTGCATCCGCTCTTTTCTCATTTTTCCTACTCCTTTCGTCGAAGTTCACGCCTTGCATACTCTTCGAAGCTGTACCTTTTCGTTACATTCGGATACACATTCCGATAAGAACGCAGTCGTTCTCGTTATCGTGCTTGTTCGTTGGAGATCGAGACATTTTCACGCGAGGTTTCGAGGTCCTTTTTACGAGAAAAAAAGTCTGCAGAGGTATCTACGCCTGCAGCAGTAAAAGAAGGGGAGAATAGTCTCTCGTGAGAGAGTTGCCGTTCAAATATTTACGTTGGCTCCTGCTACAAAAGATCAAGATGAAGGTGGGTCCCGCAAAAGGTCTCAGATGAACTGTTCGGTGAACCAATAAAGCGCTTATAGAGTATCTTATCCGTCGAAAACGTGATTAATAACGATTATCCACGAAGACACACGTATTTCATTTCTTCAAGCTTCTTCGCTACGATTCGAGTTATTAGATTTTATATCTTCGGTGATATTGATACGTAAACATTGCAGTGTTATTATTCACGATTTGTCGTTGATCGAGGAAATAACGTGAAAGATGCTGAATATTTCAAGTGGAAATGTAACGTGCTTAGATTTTATGATACATAATTTTTTTCTACTTTTTGTTCTATCTCTGTGTACCTTTTATTTCTTGCTCTTTATATTCACATCCGTTTCTTTTTACAAATTTACATTGCTCGAGAAATATTTACACTGAACGATGAAGCATTTGAAAAAATATGTCGATTTATCGTGCGACAAAAATTTCCGTTTTTCAGTAAACATTACTTTTACTTATTCTTACTTCTCTTTTACCTTTGCTCGCCGCGTAGACCTCGCCGGTCTCTTCGAAAGTTGACATCCTCCGGCAGAAATGCATTTCGCGTATTTCAGACCTAACGAAATCACTTTCATAAATCACGTTTTTAAACTGAAAGAACAGCATAGAAGCTTGGCTTCATCGAGACTTCTTTGTCGAATATTGAGAAGTTGTTCAACGACAAGTAACCAAAGATCAATAAGGATTGAATGCCTATCAAACAGATTTTCATTTTCAGGCGGGAAAAAGGGCCACTCGTTTAACTTTTCTATAGCGTTTACTTAATACGTAAGAAAACTGCAAGTGGCACTCGCCTGATTTTAATTACTCGTTTTCAATACTTTCTGAGAATTGTCCCTTGCAGTAGGTTTAGCTCTGTCGCGTTAATTATCGTGAAAATGAAGCAGGAGGAGTCTTCCCTCTCACGATAATTTGGTACTCTCTATAGACGTCAAATTGGGGACATTCTCTATCTTGTAACAATCACACTGTCTTCTTGAACATAGTTCCTATTCATTTGGTTCCTTTATTGCTACTTCCTGCTTTAGTTTCTGCCCTTGTACGCAGACTTTTATGGCTCCTTCCATGCTGAGGATCTTTAATAAGTTGCGCGAGGCGTCTAAAGAAAGTAGGACCCTCGTTTCTGGTACAGTACCGATTTATCGTGCTTCTTCGTTTTCGTCTGTACACGTAACGAATTTTTTATTATCATCCGTTACTGGAAACGAGAATCTCGAAGCTGACGCTTCTGCTTCCAGGAAGATGTAACATCCTGCGAGAAAAACGCGATAAACGCATCCCATTCTGGTAAACCGGTCATATAGATACTTCTCAAGAGTCGTTCAGTAATCGTGCTCTAACCAGAATTCCTTTTTACGGTGTTCTTACGAGCAACTCGAAGACACTGCGTTAAAGTCATCCACTGGCTTACGCTGCAATCTTTTGATAGACAATGCTGTATTAAGAATTTTATAACGTTGCAATGCTACAAGCTTTACGTCATTCGACACACCGTCGGATTTTATACCATTCTTTTCCTCAAACTTCATTTTAGATCGTTCGAAACCTCGACCTCGTTAAGATCAACGGATTAGTATGCGATCGCTTGTTTCTGCTGTAAAAAGGTATATTTCATTGATCGTTAAACTGAGAAGAAGATTCTTCTTTTTTATACTAAATACATAAGCAAGAGTATCTATAGAGTTTTACAGAGACTACGTAATATTCGTGATTTCTTAATTCTTCAAAGGTATTAATTATCGTTGAAATTTGTAGGAAAAACAGGTCGTTACTAAGATCGATGTGAAATTAATTAACTTCGTTTTAGCTGTATCTAAGCAAATTAGTTCAGGCAGAATGGAACTTTTAGATGGTAAAATTATCGAGATAGTCATGCTTCTCGGCGTAAGAGGGTGGAATTATCTAGCCACCCTTTGGGTAAACGAGAAAAGCCGTTGTTCCTGTCAAATAAGAACTCCAGGAGATATTATTCCTTAGCTTTGATTGCGGATATGTGCAAATATTAATTAGTTCAGCGAAAAGAATTAACATACATATATGAATTTCATAGTTTCAACGTTCCATCAATTTTACAGAGCTTATAAAGTTAGTTATTCCCAATGGACTAACGAATAATATCTGTCAGTATAAGTGGAATATTTATTTTTAAACTAACCTCCACGTTAATTGTACACAAATTAATATACATATGTAGAACGGTAAGTGTAAAAATATATTTTTCAAACGTTTCAAGGTAATGCGACGATTAGGCGCTGGCGTCGATTTATCATAATTTTTACTTGAACTGAGTCTACTATAAAATAGGTAAAATAGCGCACTGAAGTAAAGTACAGTAGTAGGTAACGCTGAGAGTTCCTGCGATTTCAAGCCGTTCATTTTGGAAAGAAAGGTAACTCCATTGAAATTAAACATTTTTATTTAAAATAATTTCCTTAATTTCCGATACACTTTTGCCAAAATATTACAAGAGCACTGATTAATAAAAATCCAAATTAAAAAAAGAGAAGAAAATTCTTCTGTTTGCTAAATCGTTTTTAGGAAAATGAACAAAATACACCGTGAAATCGACATAGTGCGTTTTTATATAGTTATAGATACAATTACCTTGAAACAGACAGCTAAGAACATTATAAATAACGTAGTGTATAAATTATGTTACTCGTTTATAATAGGTACTTGCTGACAAACCAAAAGGTACTGCACATCGAGGACTGATACATTTTTCAACATGATGTTCTATTACATGAGCGTATGGCTTATTGTAGCCAAGTGTCTGCTGGCCGGTAAGTACACGAAGGATCGTTGTTTGTATTGAAAAGTAGAGAGCAATATTTGAAACTACACTTGGTATAATTGACACTTTCAACTTTGGAGCTTCGTAACGTCATTTTAGTTTCGAGGAACGTAATGTGATTATTAAAGACTCACGTATCGGTAAGCTTTAAATCCTCGAAGTTTGTTCTAGTTGTACATTTATCGAAGATGTTGAATAAAATATATGTTTTCTATTTGCTGTATTATGTGCAATGTAAATGACATTGAATTTAGAATTAATATCGCAAATATTGATTTTCTTCGTCGTATAAACAAAATGACACTGTTGTATCTTCATAACGTAACGAACGATAAAATAAATTCGTAAATTTAGGGTGAAAATTGGCTGTAATGTCTCGTTGTTAATATTTTCAATACAACTTTGTTCGCAGATGCAGCAAGTAATCCAACAGATAGCATATTCTTTCGTTTGTATAACAGGTAAATATTTTTACACACTGATAGAAGTAATTTTTCATTCATGTATCGATCTGATTGCGTTTATTTCCATTTTTACTATAATTATTCGTTCGCACGTTTCAATTTCACCGTTTTTCCTTCAGGAATGGCACTTTTCTCGATGTAAATGTACGAAATGCAACAGAATTGGTGCCGCAGTTGATCAGCAATGAAACGTTAGATATATACATCCATGGTTTTGGAGAAACCGTAAACTCTGAAGGCGCTAGGTTGGTGACGGAGGGTAAGTCACGAGTTGACATTAACGAATTAAATACGTTTCAACTGATTTGCAATGAAGGAAAGTAAAGTTCGTGATTGTGTGTCTCTATATTTTTCAAGCACCGACAAAAATTCTCGATAGATTTTCGATTAAACGGTACATGAAAATGTTGAAAGACGTTTAGATCGTTCGATCAAATAACAGTGTTATTAATTCTGTCGTCGAAACTGCGGTTCAATTAGAGTTTGCGATGCATTTCAATTCCACGTGTCGAAAAGTTGAGGATCTCCTATTAGGACACTCCAGTTCGTGGAATAATCAAGCAGCTTCTCGTACGAATATTCTATTTCAAACCTGATTCTGAGCGGTTACGTCACAGTTCTATGTCACCATTGTACTAGCGTACTTGATAAATAACACTTAGAACAAAAGCATGTCGTTCATATATCTGTCACAATCGAGACTATAAGAAACGCCAGCAAGCCGAATAACTTGAACGTATGTACGTGTTACCTTGATTCCTATTCACTTTTGCTGCATTAGAAACGTTTGTAACAACAATCGAGCATCTTGATCGTGAATCAATTGACAGTAACTACCATGTTAATTTGAATTTTGATCGTTTCACGAAGTTTCCAATATTATCCGTCAGTTTTCAAAACCAACAAAGAGCGCACAGTAGTTCGTCCATTTAAACTCTCCCTTTAAATCTGATTTAGACATCTTTCATGTTAATTCAGACTAATTAATTTTCAACAGAAAATGTTTAATACTTGTCTTTTTTTCATTAATGCAGCGTATTTG